CACATTATATTTGATAGAACTATGTGCATAACTGGGCAAAATCCTGTGTTGGTATCATCTTGTGGCGCTGTCGGCTCCCATGGACACCCACAGCTCCTCGATGCCCTGAATGTGACGGAAAGAGGACTGCCAGCACAAGGACCTTGGTGTCCACAGTCCGAACCATCACCTTGCTGCAGCCCCGTGACACGTCTGCGTCCGCGACGTGTATAACAGAAGCCGGCCATCGGCTTCTTCGCGGTTGCACGGCGCAATGCCGTTGAAGTCACAGGACATTTTACTCCAGTGTAGCGCACAACTTTTTAGCGCCTTGCGGGTACTATGGCAAGGACGGGCCACTCTTTGACCGCCATGCTATAGTATTGGGTGGTGAACACGACTAAATAATTTCCCGACGCAGAGTCGATGAGAAGACAGGGCCGGTCTCGAGTAGCAGCGTTCAAAGGCTTGGGGCCCGTGGCGTGGATGATCGAACCGTTCGAAATACGGTTCAAATACACGCATACAATCTAGAGATTAGGTGCTTTTCCCATTTTTAAGTGTAGGGATAGTCTACTATGACAGACGGTTGCGACGGTTGCGAGGGAGCCAACCAACGCTCCCGGCTCAGGATGCGCGACCCCGCCAGCACCTGTAACCGCGCACCTCGCGGCGCTTTGAACGTTGCGCTGTGGGCCTCGCTAGGGCGAGCAATGCCGCAGACCACTCGATGGAAAGCTGACAAAACAGCGCACATTTTGGGATTCCACTTGGTAGAAGGTTTTCCGAGGGAAAAGCAGTCAAAATCGCCCATTTCCCGTCAAGTGCCCCTGGAAGTAGGCAACCCGCCTGGCAGCATGTCTCTATAGGCGACTCGATGGTGGAGTCAGTGAGTGACCCCCCTGCCAAATTTCAAATTGATATCTTAAAATTTAGGGTGCTTTTCCGGAGGAAAACCGTCGTGGCCGGTCCGCTCCATTGCAGCCGCCTGCCGCCACCGGCCGCGGCCGGCCAGGCGAGCGCGTCGGCAGAGCGGCGGAACTGCCGCCGCGCGGCACTCAAATCGCTGTAGATCGAGAACCATTGCTCCTATTTGCGATCCGGAACACTCCACGGACGGGCAAGAGAACAGCGCATCTCGTGGTACAAAAATATTTGTACGGTGTGTAAGCAAAAAGTTCAAATAACTGCAATTATAGAAACTAGAAACACATTTTTTGCTGTGGACGCCACAATTCTCAAGATTTAAGCGCGCCAATTTAATTGAAGCTTCTCCCTGTGTGTCTGAACACTCCGCCGCTTGAACGGGTTCGATGCGACTTCTTGTTCCCAAATTATAAATTTTTCGCCTGTAGGTAGGCAACCCGTTTTTCACCCTGTTCCGGCGAGTTGGCGGAATGTCTCCATAGCCAGTTCTCATCAGGGCCGTCTAAACTACCGATTCCCGTTTGAAAATCGTTTCGATCATATTTTGAAGATAAATGACGTTATTCCCCGCACTACCAACAACACGCGGCCGAATGCAGCGCGGCACAGCACGGCACGGCGGTGCGAATTCATTAAATTTGTCGTGGAGAGATTAGGACTGTGGGAAACAATTAGGACGCAAAGATTCCCAGCCTCACACCTCCGTCATTCCTTTTGCTGTTTCTCTCTCCGTCTGTCCCATTATTATGACCGTGACAGCCTCCTCGCGGGGCAGGCCGGGGCTGGCACTCGCCGAGCATTAGCACGGATTTAGAGAAAGAGAAGAAGAGAAAAACAAGGAAATGGAGGAAAAAATAAATAGAAAGACGAAAACGACACACGCGAAATCGGGAATGAAAGCTGTCGGTCCGGGCGACAGGCGACATGGGGTCCCGTAACGCTAGGAGTCGGCTAGGAGTCGTCCGCCTACATGTCGGTGCCAGACTGCCAGCGCCAATTCCACCGAACCCACCACACTGGCGCCGCGGGCGAGGCGGCCGGAGAGAGGCTATCTCTCTCCCTCATTGGGACGTGTCGGCCCCGAGAATTATGATTGGAGAAAGACTCGGATGGAATTCGATTTCGTTTTTCGTGCCCCGATCGCCCGATCCACCGATCCGACGGCATAACGACCACCGATTGCCGCCGCGGCCGTTTCCGATTCCAACTTTTCGGTGGGGCCAGTCGGCGCCAGTCGGCCGGCCGGCGAACCGACGGGCTGGCGGTCGGGATGGAAATCGGAGAGCCCTGGCAGGGGATGAAACCCGTAGCGACTCCTGCACTGAAAGAGATCGCCGCCGGCGGCAGAGGTGGGGAACGTCCCGCCTGGTTAGGGACGACCGGGACGACGGAAGCAACTTTTGAAAAGGGAATTAGAACCGCCACCGCGGCCCGAGCGTGACGCCCAGCATTGAGCGCGGCGGGGCCGGGCGGGGCCGCGCGCCGCGACGACGCAGCAGGAATTTGAATGAAAAAGTGCGCGCACGGCGGACAGTGCACGGACCGTGTCGGCGGAAAGGCAAACTGGATGCCTGCCACGCTGCGCCACGACGCGGCCGCGACGCTCACGGGAACAGACTGACAAATCGCGGTCGGCGGGCGGGCTGGCGGGCAGGCAGACGCGCGCGGCCTGGCGCGCACGGCCGCCCGGAACGGCATAGTTTATTGGCTGAGCGATAGCGAAGCCTGTTACCCCAGTGGGGTTGAAAAATTTTTCCTGTCTGTCTGTCTGTCTGTCTGTCTGTGTGTCTGTCTGTGTGTGTGTGTACACTACTCCTCCTGAACGGCTCGGCTGATCCAGCTGAGATTTTGCAGGCTTATTAGGTATGTCCTTGGCTCGGCACGCGCGAAATTTCACCATCCTAGCTCAACTGGTTTGGTTTTTAAAGCCGAAAAACACTTAAAAAACGACGAAAAATCGAGTTTTCTGTAGGCAAATTGCCTCTGTCTTGAAGAAAGGGGTCTGCGGGGCGGAGCCCCCCAGCCAGGACAAGTGAAAAAGCTGCAAGGGTCAAGATCGCGTTATCTGCAGATGAAGCAACTCCATCTAGAATGAAGGGGGGTCTGGGGGCGGAGACCCCCAGCATGCAACAAGTTAGGAAAATCGACTATGGAAAAGCCATTGCCTGCCGAAGGCAGGCTAGCGCCGCAGGCCAAGGTAGGTACGCCAGGCGCGGATTGGAGTAACAGGCAGCGAGACATCGCGAAGCCTGTTACGACAAGACGCGGTCTGGCGTAAACCCGAGGGGGTATGCACTCGCGTAATAGTCGGTTCACTCTATCTGTAATAGCACGCGTAATAATACGCGTAATAGTCAGGTAATAGCCGAAATTGTCAAAATTTTATCAATTTTGGTGTGTTTTAGGCCGTTTTTAGCTAAATTCCGATTGATTTGTGGCGTAATAGAGCGTAATAGCGTAATAGTCGGTACACAGGTTCAGAGAGCGCATACCCCCTCGCGTAAACCTACCTTGTAACGCCGTTTGAAGCCTCCTTCTCCACACCTCGCCGCGCAGCGCTGGCAGCGCGAGCAGCGCCAGGACCGGGATGTCGTCCGCGGGATGGCGGCCTAGGGCCGAGGCAGTCGGAAGCGGAACCAAGGGGAGGGAGAGAGAGAAAAAGAAAGAAGTCTGGTTTCTTTGCGTGTCCGCATTAATGAGGACGCCGCCAGTGCTGCCAATATGCCACGGCCAATAACTCTGTTCCGAGGCACTGCCACGGCACTGCCACGGCACTGTCGGCCGGGCCGGGCCGGGACGGGATGGCATGCCGCGAGCCCAGCGGAGCGGGGCGGCGCAAATTTATGCCGCGATCGCGCGGCACGCTGCCGCCGCGCCGGACCGCAAGACTGACGCCGGGAGTCGTTTTCGCCGCACTGTCTCTCTCGCGCCTATAGGGCACGCCACATGAGTGCGGGAGAGACAGGGCGCGAAAACGGCCGTCGAAATCAGTCCGCAGGCAGATGGGTAGTCCAGCCCGTCCGGGCTCCGGGCGGGCCTAGGGGCGGGCCTAGAGGCAGGCCTAGGGGCGGGCCTAGGGGCGGGCCTAGGGGCGGGCCTAGGGGCGGGCCTAGGGGCGGGCCTAGGGGCGGGCCTAGGGGCGGGCCTAGGGGCGGGCCTAGGGGCGGGCCTAGGGGCGGGCCTAGGGGCGGGCCTAGGGGCGGGCCTAGGGGCGGGCCTAGGGGCGGGCCTAGGGGCGGGCCTAGGGGCGGGCCTAGGGGCGGGCCTAGGGGCGGGCCTAGGGGCGGGCCTAGGGGCGGGCCTAGGGGCGGGCCTAGGGGCGGGCCTAGGGGCGGGCCTAGGGGCGGGCCTAGGGGCGGGCCTAGGGGCGGGCCTAGGGGCGGGCCTAGGGGCGGGCCTAGGGGCGGGCCTAGGGGCGGGCCTAGGGGCGGGCCTAGGGGCGGGCCTAGGGGCGGGCCTAGGGGCGGGCCCCGTGCCAAGAATCGGCGGGACGGTGAACGGAACCTCGCCGCCGGAGGACTCGACGGCGACCGGACGAACCGCCGTGGAGGCAGCCCGCCAGGCAAGGCACACTCGCGCGGCGGGCTGGCCTACCCGCCAGGCGGCCCGCTCGTCGAGCTCCACGCCGCGTCGCCGCGCCGCCGCGTCCGATGGCCGAACGTGATCACGCCGGACAAAGGTGGCGAACACCATCAAGACATTATTGTATTACGGGCCGTTTGCCCGCGGAGCCGCCCGAGGGGAAGGCCGGGACGTGCAGGACGACGGTCCAGGACTTGAGCCGCCGCGTGTTCACCGCGGCAGCACCGCGCGTCATCGCCGTCCCCTGGTTGAGGTGACTAGGCCCGCGTGGACCTGCGACACTACTTGTCAAGACAAACAATGCCCCTCCCTCTCTCCTTCCCCGCTCCTTCCTGGAGTCCTGCATCACGGCCAGCGCGGCCAGGAGCACGGGCACAATGGCCGGGACGGGTCAACTGGGGCGTGGTGGGGCGGGGCGGGGCGGGGCGGCCGGAGGGGGCTGGTCGCATTGTCGACGGCGACGTGTGCACACTGGCGTACGGGGCGTACGGTGTACTGGGTCGCTGACTCACCGAGTCCGTGGCGTTGACGCCGGCCCCCGCGATGATGAGCGCGGCCGCGACGTCGGCGTGGCCGGCCGAGGCGGAGAAGTGCAGCGCCGTGCGGCCCTCCTGCGACAAACACGCACTTCTGTGAGTCGGGCCGGCGGCAGGGTGCAGGGAGTCATGTCGTGCTGGGGGTGCACGCTGCGAGCCACGCTGCCAGAGCCGAGCCACGTCGGTCAAGGCCGCGGCGGGTTGCGGGTTCGACTCCGCCCGCGCACCGCGTTTTCGTGGGACCGTGCGTTGAAATCTCCGCGCAGCCATTCAATCCGCCTTGACCGCAAGGCACCTGTGCTGCAGCCACGCAACCGCGTTAGCGTGCCTGGCCCTGCCTGGCCCTGCCTGGCCCTGCCCGTTGCGTGCCTGTACTGCCAGTGCAGGTGCGAGTTGCGTGCCGGGCCAGGCCGGGGGAGTATCGTGTTGCCTACCTTGTGCCACCAGCCGGGGCGTTTTGCGCGCGCCCGCGCTCCAGTGCCCGCGTGGCGTGAGCGAGCGGGCAGGTGGACAGAGAGGCGGACAGCAAACAGACAGACAGACAGACAGACAGACAGACAGACAGACAGACAGACTCGGTGCATGAGGCAACCGAGCGGACGTGCGCATCGTGCAGGCTGCGTGCTGCGAGGCGCGCCGCGTGTCGGCCGGCCAGTGCGATTGCGCACCGCACGCATTTCGTTTGGACGGCCGATGCGGTCACTCGCATCACGCGCGGAAAAAGGCAATGCGTCGTCCGCGCCGAACGCACAAAAAAATTGCTTGTTTTTACTCCTGTTTCACGAAATTATTCATTTAAGGGAAAGGAAGGGGGTGGCGAAGGGGCCTTTCCCGCGGCTCGCTGCCTTAATTGGCCATAACTTGGCCATCGCGCGCGCACGGCGCCCCTACACGGCAATTTGCATGCCGGACAAAGTAATCATTCTTCATGGGATGGGAGCGAAGCGAAGCAAAGCGCGTGTGGCTAGGCGGCTGCAAGTGGCGGGCTGTGGCTGCGGGGCCGAGGCGGTTGGGGCGGTCGGGGCGGGCCGGGGGCACCGGCAGAGTCGGGGCGACGCACCGAGTGTGAAAGTAAAGAGGAAACCCGGAGCGGCGGAGCCCAGTCCACACCTGGCAGTCCGCAACGGCGGGGCCGGCCTGGCCAGGCCTGGCGGCGAGGCTCGCGGCGTTCGCACATCCTGCAGCAAACGGCCGCACGTCTAGCCTCGGAGCAGGGCGCGCTCGCCGCCGTGGCCGCGGCGTGCAACCGGAATGCGGGCAGTTTGTTATTTTTCCGCCGCAACGCTGCATCGCTGCGGGAGGACCTGCAGCAGGACGACCTTGGGCGGGCGAGGAGGGGGAGGGGGCAAGGGCCGGCTCGGCCAAGGCTCAGCCTGGGTGGTCTTCATGGCCCCCTTCTGGCCACGCCCCCGCCACGTCGAGGCCCTCTTCCTCGTCCTCGTCCTCCTGGACCGCACTATCCACATCCATCCCCACAGCGCGCCGCAGCGCCGCAGCGACGACGAATATAAACTTGAATTTCGGATCACGTATCTGGGGTTGAGTGGCTGCCTGGCTTGGCTGTCCTCTCCGCCACGGCCGCCGCGGCCGCGCGGGACAGTTCGGTCGTACGTACCTCATCTGGAAGCAGCTTGGCGCCCTCCCCGAGCAGGCGGACCACCTCCTGAAGGTCTCCCCTCGCCGCCGCGGCCCGTAGCTGCGCTGCGGGACTGGGCCCTCCTGCGGGGCCACCGATAGGGCCCCCCGAGGGGCCGGCGGCGTGGCCGAACGCCAGCCCCGGCTCTGGAGCCACCAGGGCGACGCCCGCCGGGGTCCCCGCCACTGGCCCCGTGGCAGGGCGGGCAGGGCGGGCAGCGCCTGGACTGGAGCTGGCCATGAGGCGTCCCGGGGACAGAGGGCGTCCTCATTGGATCAGCGGCACATCTGCAACAGCAACAAGTTCGTCAAGATCGCCTCATCCTTCAGCCTCTCTGTCTCTCTCTCTCTCTCTCTCTCTCTCTCTCTCTCTCTCTCTCTCTCTCTCTCTCTCTCTCTCTCTCTCTCTCCGTTTCTCCGGCCAGACAGTTTACAGCCCATTACGCCGCGCGTGCTAGCCGTGCTAGACGAACCGCCCTGGACAGGCTAAAGGACGCGCCGTATAAAACACCAAATAAAAACACGACCGGCGACCGGATCGAGTCGGATTCGCTTCGGTTTTCCTGTCCTGCTCGGGGCCCAGCAAGCTCATTCCGAGAGTCGATTCCGACGCTCTGTCTCCATCGCACCTGTACAGGACGCCCCGTGCGAGCGAGAGGGACGGGACGAGAGCGACTCTCAGTCAGCAGGCTGCCCGGCTGCCCAGGGCACTACACTGCACTGCGGAGGACGCGAAGGCGGCAGAGCGACGAGAGCGACTCTCAGTCAGCAGGCTGCCCGGCTGCCCAGGGCACTACACTGCACTGCGGAGGACGCGAAGGCGGCAGAGCGACGAGAGCGACTCTCAGTCAGCAGGCTGCCCGGCTGCCCAGGGCACTACACTGCACTGCGGAGGACGCGAAGGCGGCAGAGCGACGAGAGCGACTCTCAGTCAGCAGGCTGCCCGGCTGCCCAGGGCACTACACTGCACTGCGGAGGACGCGAAGGCGGCAGAGCGACGAGAGCGACTCTCAGTCAGCAGGCTGCCCGGCTGCCCAGGGCACTGCACTGCACTGCGGAGGACGCGAAGGCGGCAGAGCGACGAGAGCGACTCTCAGTCAGCAGGCTGCCCGGCTGCCCAGGGCACTACACTGCACTGCGGAGGACGCGAAGGCGGCAGAGCGACGAGAGCGACTCTCAGTCAGCAGGCTGCCCGGCTGCCCAGGGCACTACACTGCACTGCGGAGGACGCGAAGGCGGCAGAGCGACGAGAGCGACTCTCAGTCAGCAGGCTGCCCAGGGCACTACACTGCACTGCGGAGGACGCGAAGGCGGCAGAGCGACGAGAGCGACTCTCAGTCAGCAGGCTGCCCGGCTGCCCAGGGCACTACACTGCACTGCGGAGGACGCGAAGGCGGCAGAGCGACGAGAGCGACTCTCAGTCAGCAGGCTGCCCGGCTGCCCAGGGCACTGCACTGCACTGCGGAGGACGCGAAGGCGGCAGAGCGACGAGAGCGACTCTCAGTCAGCAGGCTGCCCGGCTGCCCAGGGCACTACACTGCACTGCGGAGGACGCGAAGGCGGCAGAGCGACGAGAGCGACTCTCAGTCAGCAGGCTGCCCGGCTGCCCAGGGCACTACACTGCACTGCGGAGGACGCGAAGGCGGCAGAGCGACGAGAGCGACTCTCAGTCAGCAGGCTGCCCGGCTGCCCAGGGCACTACACTGCACTGCGGAGGACGCGAAGGCGGCAGAGCGACGAGAGCGACTCTCAGTCAGCAGGCTGCCCGGCTGCCCAGGGCACTACACTGCACTGCGGAGGACGCGAAGGCGGCAGAGCGACGAGAGCGACTCTCAGTCAGCAGGCTGCCCAGGGCACTACACTGCACTGCGGAGGACGCGAAGGCGGCAGAGCGACGAGAGCGACTCTCAGTCAGCAGGCTGCCCGGCTGCCCAGGGCACTACACTGCACTGCGGAGGACGCGAAGGCGGCAGAGCGACGAGAGCGACTCTCAGTCAGCAGGCTGCCCGGCTGCCCAGGGCACTACACTGCACTGCGGAGGACGCGAAGGCGGCAGAGCGACGAGAGCGACTCTCAGTCAGCAGGCTGCCCGGCTGCCCAGGGCACTACACTGCACTGCGGAGGACGCGAAGGCGGCAGAGCGACGAGAGCGACTCTCAGTCAGCAGGCTGCCCGGCTGCCCAGGGCACTACACTGCACTGCGGAGGACGCGAAGGCGGCAGAGCGACGAGAGCGACTCTCAGTCAGCAGGCTGCCCGGCTGCCCAGGGCACTACACTGCACTGCGGAGGACGCGAAGGCGGCAGAGCGACGAGAGCGACTCTCAGTCAGCAGGCTGCCCGGCTGCCCAGGGCACTACACTGCACTGCGGAGGACGCGAAGGCGGCAGAGCGACGAGAGCGACTCTCAGTCAGCAGGCTGCCCGGCTGCCCAGGGCACTACACTGCACTGCGGAGGACGCGAAGGCGGCAGAGCGACGAGAGCGACTCTCAGTCAGCAGGCTGCCCGGCTGCCCAGGGCACTACACTGCACTGCGGAGGACGCGAAGGCGGCAGAGCGGCGAGAGCGACTCTCAGTCAGCAGGCTGCCCGGCTGCCCAGGGCACTACACTGCACTGCGGAGGACGCGAAGGCGGCAGAGCGACGAGAGCGACTCTCAGTCAGCAGGCTGCCCAGGGCACTACACTGCACTGCGGAGGACGCGAAGGCGGCAGAGCGACGAGAGCGACTCTCAGTCAGCAGGCTGCCCGGCTGCCCAGGGCACTACACTGCACTGCGGAGGACGCGAAGGCGGCAGAGCGGCGAGAGCGACTCTCAGTCAGCAGGCTGCCCGGCTGCCCAGGGCACTACACTGCACTGCGGAGGACGCGAAGGCGGCAGGCCGGCAGGCGCGCCGAGGAGGCGGCCAATGGCGGCGGCTAGCGCAAGCTTGCCTCACCTTCAAGTTTAGTGCCCTGGACCGTGAAGACACACTTGGCGTGGCGGGGCGTGGCGGGGCGGAGCGCGGCCGTTCACGCACGCCAGTCCTGCTGCTTGCCATGCTCACCCGGCCGAGCCCGTGCCCGCACAGTGTGCCCGCCGCCTGCTCGCGCGGCCTTCGAGGCGAATCGGACAAACAATGAGCCAGTGTCAAGCGAGCAGGACTCAGGACTCCAAGACGCGGGGCGGGAGGAGGCGGGACGGCGCTAGTGTCCCGCTCCGCGCCGCCGCGCCCTCTTAACTCCTTGCGGACAGCATGTTATCCGTAATCCAGGTAATTTTGAGCAAACATAATTACGGATCCACCCATGGATTTAGCTTGTAATACACATTATTTTACCCGTACTACAAGGTTTTCGTGTCCGTAACGTCCAAACAAAATAACGCATCAGGGGCTAATAAATCAAGAAATAAGTCCACTGTGTTTGCTGAAAGCATTCTGTACTACGGATTCGTGGTGCCGTATAAGAAGTTTGTTGGCAGTGCACCGACCGCGCCACCCGTTTTGTTCTATTTCCGAGCCAGGCTGGCTTGCCACTGCCACCACAATGTACCCATAAGTCCGCGCGCCAACATATTAGGCGGCCATGCGTGTCGCATAAGGGGCTGCTGCTCCTTGTCCAGGCGCATCTGGAGCTCGCCGTCCCTCCCCGCCAGCCATCCCCGCACCGCGCCGCACCGCCAGCCCAGCTCGCCGCATTCCAGCGCGTAGTCCGCGAGGCCCGCGACTCCAGGGATACGCCCCGCGAAAACGGCCTGGAAATATTCCAGAGACGCGCTCGGAACAGGGACACCGCGAGAGCCTCCAGAGACACTTCACAAAGCGTCCGGAGTCACTAAGAGAGAATTCCAAGCTCGCATTTCCGGGGGTATGGACCATTGAGTTCTGTCTAAACTTGCCAAAAACCTGTCTGAAGTGCACACTGGAGTGCACATCCCCCCCTTTCAGACTCCAGCACGTCGCTCCTCGCGGGGCCGCTCCCCGTGTCCAGCGTTCCAGCGCTGCAGCGCGCTCTCTTTCCCTCGGGCTCCACTCCAGGACTGCTGGACTCCAGGACTCCAGGCGTCAGGCCCTGGGGATTGTTGCTGCATGTGAGGCGCGGCACTGCGAGGCACCGCGAGGCACTCGGAATAATGCAGCGGCACTCCCATTTCCCATTTCCCGCGCGGCGGCCGCGGCGGTCGAGAAGAAAACGCCTTTCTCTCGTCGGCGCGGCGCCGTCCTCGAGGAGGCCCTGCAGGGCCCCGAGCAGGAGAGGCGCCATTAGGGCGGTTAGAGACGCCCGGCGTTTTAATAACAAGCGGGGCGAGGCGAGGCGGCGAAGCAGTGCGAGTGCGTCGCGTCGCGTCGTCGGGGAGCTCGGAGCAGAGCGCGCAGAGCGAGCAGAGCGCCCGCGCCCCGCGCCGCACCGCCGCCGTCGCGGTGCCTGCCCTCACGGCGCTCGCAGCACGCGCGCGCCGCGTGCTCTTGGCGCACTTTGCGGCCGACGGCGTCGTCGTGAGGGTCGTCGGCATGGTCGCCGTAAGCAAATGCCTGTGGCCGGGTGTCGTTACGGGTATCAAGTGCCACGACCATCGGGCCGACCGCCGTCATCTCGGCCGGAAAAGCCTCACGACGCCTCGGGGTCATTTTCTACAACGGACACCATGAATGGGGCGGGCGGGCGGACGGACGGACGGACGGACGGACAGACAGACGGACAGGTGCGCCGACCGCCGTGACCAAGGGCTACCCAAAGTCCCAAAAGGAGAACTCGGAAACGTTTGGCTCCGTCCGCGCTGCGCTGGACTCCGCTGGACTGGGCTGCGCTGGCGTGGGCGTGAGCCAAGGGCCCGTATAGCGAGATAAGCCCTTCGAGCAACAGATGGTCAGTGCGGTGTGCGAGTGTGTGTGTGTGTGAGTGTGTGTGTGTTTGTGTGTGTGTGTGTTTGTGTGTGTGAGAGAGAGAGTGTGTGTGTGTGTGTGTTTGTGTGTGAGTGTGTGTGTGTTTGTGTGTGTTTGTGTGTGTGTGTGTGAGAGAGAGAGAGAGAGAGAGAGAGAGAGAGAGAGTGTGTGTGTGTGTGTGTGTGTGTGTGTGTGTGTGTGTGAGTGTGTGTGTGAGTGAGTGTGCGGCTGGATGCACTGCCAGAACACATTCCGGCATTTGTCCCGCTACATGCTGATGTATAAGGACAATCCATTACATGTGCTGCCCTCCGGCGGCGCGGTGCGCAACTACAAATAATTGAGTGGAGGCGGGCCGAGGCGGGCCGAGTCCGGGGAG